GACCCGACCCGGCATGGTCCATTTGGGTTGCATGGCACCATGCAATTGGATAGACTAAATGAGAGAAATAACACTTGGAGATTATTAATATATTATAAGTTCTAATATATTAATAATATTATTTGATTAGTTTGATCAATAATTAATTTAGAATTAATTAAGTGATCAAAAGAGAACTAATTAAATATATGGGTTGATTATGTAAATCATCCATATCTTGTATAGTGGGCTAAGAGGCTCCATGGATTATCAAATTGGGTTCTACCCATAGGATGCTCCATGGGAGTTACAAACCCATGGGTCATGGAAATGAAGAGTCATGACACATTAGGGTTTACATGGTGTAACCTAGATGTGTCAACACTATATAAAGATCTCATTCTCCACCAAAATCGGTTACACTAAGGAAACAAGAGGGCTTGGCCGATTTCAAGAAGTGTGCATTCTCTCATAAGTTTTTCCAAGAGCATTTGGTGTTGTGTGAAGCATTTGAGGCATCACACTTGGGGTGCTAGGCTCATAAGGTTTCAAGGAACATAAGCAACAACAAGGTAAGTTATTATATCTATCATTCAAGTTAAAATTGTTCCCCATGTATGTTAGTTAGGAATATAGCCTTGGAATTCAACTTTGCATGATAATTAGACAAACATAGATCCAAGGTTATTAGGGTTGCATGTACACTTAGGAAGTGTTAGAATGCTCAAAACCCATCAGTTTTATCTTGACATAAAACCAAAAATAGCAACATACTTAATAAGTGTGTGTGTATATATATATATATATATATATATATATATATATATATATATATAGAACTCCTGAATATACCTTCAGGGCTATATTAGTAACATAACAGGCTTTATCTTGACATGAAACCAACAATAACAACATACATAATAAGTGTATATAGAACTCTAGAATATACCTTCAGGGCTATATTAGTAACATAACATGCTTTATCTTGACATAAAACCAACAATAACAACATATTTAATAAGTGTATATAGAACTCCTGAATATACCTTTAGGGCTATATTTAGTATAATAACATGCTAACAAGTTTAAAATAGTTATATGTTTTCAAAATATCATATTCAAAACAACCATATCCCGGTTAATATAACTATCTATGTTGATACAAATATACTATCATATAGACATAATATTAACTTAAATACAATATTTAGCATGCATTTTCCCCCGAAAGCATTAAAAAGTGGGGCCGTGAAACTCACCCTAGTAGCATGATTTTATGTAATCTAACTAGAAACGGTCATCGGTTCGTGATCGTCGGGCTCGGGATGCGAAACGGCCCCAACAAACGAGAGAGAGAGAGAGAGAGAGAGAGAGAGAGGAGATTTAGGTGTAAGGAAGGTTAGAGTCGAATTGGCTATTTATAGGCTGATTTTTAGCCTCTCACGTCGTGAGCCATACATGCTCATGTCGTGAGCTCGATCCTGCTCACCTCGTAGACCTGCCATTTGGGTCCCTAGCTTCGGAAGGTGTCCATTTGACTCCTCACATCATGAGAAATCCTTGATCACATCATGAGCTTTTGACTTATCACTCTGTAGACTTTCCATTTAATACTCTAATTTTTCAAACCATTTTTTTTAATTCCACAAAACACGGTTTAATATATCATGCCCTCCAATTATATTTGTCATGGTCCAGATCTAAAGCCTCAACTCCATGGCAAGCTCAAACAACTTAAGGACCCAAAGAAAAGATGGAAAGGGCCATAAACTCCCTAGAGAAGAGATCTAACCAAACAATGATCAAGGTGATAGCTTTTCACCTCCAAATGGCAGCTAACACTAAAAGAATGCTAGATCCAAGGGCTCTTTCTCGTTCCAAGCCTTTTGCTCCTCAAACTCCTTCAAAGAATGCACCAAATCACACACGTTTAGCTTCTTTCTCTCTCACATGTGATACCAGCTCGTTTAGGGTTACTCTTAGGGTACTAAAGTTGTGAGGAAGGCGGGGTAAAGGAGCTAAAGTCCTTTAAATAGGGTGCAAGCCCAAATGGTTAGGATTTCATCAAACAGACTCAACTCATCGAGTCCATCCCTCAGACTCGACGAGTAGACTTCATATCTCGCGCATCCTGATTAACTCCTACACGACGACTTGGGACCCATCAACTCGTCGAGGAGGTCCTATAATGTGCATGAAATTCTCAAGTTCCACATCCAGGAAATCGGGGTGTTACAATTCTCCCCCACTTAATTAGATTTCACCCTCGAAATTGCTCTTTATCGACACATAGATTGAAACAAACACTCTAAGAAGCACCACCGTAAAATCTCATAACATAAAACGGTCTCCTTCCCAATACATTCGAAATGAAAACAGGAACCCCCAACCCGAAAAGGACGGACCCCTTTGCCGTTGTAGTACTAGCTCTGACTCTCCAGAACTCGGAAACTATAGTGGTCTGTCTTCCCGAAAGACCGCACATGCGAAATATTACCATGTTGATCGCTCATCAAATAATAGGCCCGATAAAACACCTCCAACTCTGATTATCTTGTCGTGACTGCTAGGAACAAGTCGTTGACCATAATTGGGTCCTGATCACTCATGTCAGGCGTACTAGTCGATCTAGATCTTAGCTCAAAGGAACGGTGGGGTTACATCTCACCAAGGGTCAACCACCGACACTACAATCAAAACCAATCTAAAGAATGAATCTCAATACTCAGCCCTCAGACAGTAGAAGAATGACCATGCTCGGTCAGAAATATCGTCTGATATCCATAACCATAAGCCCCAGTTTCCCTTCAATGTTCCTTCCATCACTGAGTATCAGGTCAACTCCCCGACCTACAAGTCGCACCTTCAAGGCTACCCTAGCACATCCGGCCATACAACTTCATAGTCGTTCTATCCAGCTGAGTTGTCTCAACCAATCACATTGGACCCACAACCACCAGGTTCACTTTACCCCAAGAAATTACGACAACCGGGTTGAAATTGCACCTCACTTCCGACCTCGTTTGTCTACTACCTACTAACTCATGCGTGTCGTGGTTCTCCTCAACCCGACGAACCGATTCACGCAGGTCTAAAACATCAGATGGGAAACATCCATCTGAAAACTCTGGAATCCCAACCGGCCCGTCCTCCACACAGATAGAGCCTAAACTCAACACAAGAGTCTGGTTCGACACAAAATTGGAACCACTCGTATCCAATCTGATACTCAAATCATGACTCGTGATTCACGAATCCACGCGTACATTACTCCTCTCATCCTTTCGGTGTGCGACAATCCCTCACTCAATCGAGATATTATCTGTCAAGCTTGAAATACAATTTATTATTATTATTAGTATTATAAGCGATAATCGATATATGGTTTTTCAAATTCGTTTTTATCAATATTATATATATATATATATATATATATATATATATATATATATATATATATATATATATATATATATATATATATATATATATATATATATATATATATATATATATATATATATATATATATATATATATATATATACATTTTAAATATGTATTTATAGGTAAAAACATAAAAATATAATAAAACATCTAAAAACATATAAATACTTTTTCTATATGTATTTATTACATTTATATGTTTTTTACGTGTTTAAAACATATTTATATATTTATTTATTTAATAATTATCATAAAAACTAATTCAAAAAATCATTCTTTGACTTTGGCTTATAATAATAATAATAATAATAATAATAATAATAATAATAATAAAATGTATTTAAAGCATCAAATATTAAAGTTATGTACAAAAATGAAAGAGAACTATCACATGTATCATTGATTGGTAAGTGGTTGTGTGGCTTGGGTTCGAATCTCCCTTTCATCGATTTTTTTTAAATGAAAAACTTCTAGATATATACGAGTGAAGGAGTTAAAGCAAATAAATCGTCCAACTCAACTGGTTGGTAGTTTTGTTTTTGTTGAAGGGAAGCGCAGGTCCGAAACCCCCTCCCAATAATTTCTTTAAAAAAAATCAGATTTTTTTTATAAGAAGCAGACGTGACATGCCATGTTAGGCCAGATCAACAATACTTCCATCTTAGAGTGTCACATAGACATGTGATCAGATGAAAGGTTATAAATGACCAAATTGTAAACGTTAAACGTTAGTCGGTTTTTTATTAAAAGAACGAAAAGATTTAATCGTTACTTTTCCTAAAAATTTAAGATTTTTATGAAAAAATTTCTATATAAATTGATTTAAATGTGGGGTCACAGCAAAATATATGGTTGTTTAAATTAAATATAAATATTTGTAATTTTTCATGTATATGGAAGATAGGAAATTGCTTTATCAAGTTTAAGATCTACTACAAATCTCGTTATCTATTTTATTAGTCATGCTCACAAATCAAATTCAAGTTCAGCTAAATATGACAATAGTGTTAAATTTTGTTTTGATCAGTGAACTAATTATGATTGGTCATATATAATTTAGTGATGGTTGATACATAAAAAAAATAAAGATATAATTATAACGAGTTTATTTATATTTCAATTTATTTTAACAACCCACTAACTTAAAAAAAAAAAAAAAAAAAAAAAAAAAAAAAAAAAAAAAAACAGTTTCTTCCTACAGACTACGAACGTTTGGTCTACATCTCTTCTACTGTTGTCTGTATATATGATCTTCAAACATAAACATTTTACTTTTTAAAAAATAAACTCCACTTTATTCTTTTCGTGTATAACCCTACATAATGTCGAATGTTCTCGGTTTTTCCGGTACATCAACCAAATTACAAGAATGCAAGCAAAGGTTCCTAGATTCATGGAGATATATAGCAACATACATTCCATGCTTGTTTGAGTAATAACAATATTTCCCAATATCATGCTAAGAATGACTCGGATTTCTTGCAACTTTGCTTGTTTTATATCACACCTTCCTCCAGATACAAAACTTTTTTTATTCAAACAAAATAAAACTAACCAAAACCTAAGAAAGAGGACTAGGAACATAATCCTTCAAGAATCAAAAGATCCAAAAGAAATAAAAATCCATCAAATTTGTTCACATTCAGTGTTTCAATTTGTCCAATTTTAAACAAGACATCAATGGGAGAAGAAATATGCACAATCCAAATACTAGACCACCAACTGATATTTGACACAAAAATCAGGCTCCCCAATCGAGCCTCTGCACATAAAAATGACTTGAGTTAAAATTAGAATTCAATCCTTGCCAAGACTGTATTTTTGCTACACATGACATGACAAAACAGAGCAAAACAAGTTGTACTACATATGTCTTGCATTGAACCAAGACCGGATGACGTGAATGGGACAAAAAAAATGCAATTATCTGCCCCCCACCCAAAAAGGTGCAACAATAATACCCCTAGAAAGCTTGTATTGTACTGTGTACTACTGTACTGTCCTGTTTTGTCATGTCCTGTTTGTTCTATTGAACACAGTCTAACGGTCTTGGGGGACATCCCCACGGAACCGTTTTTGCAAATGTTCCAAGCTTGCCACACGTTGCATCGACGCGGTTCGACCTATTTTTGGCGGCCCGACTTCCGGCATCATGGGGTTGTGCGGTTGAACGTTTTCAACGGGAGGGAGGTTTACAGGCATTCTTTGAGCAGGTATGTGGTGGTTGGTGGCGGGAGTAGGATGGTGGGGGTTGGTGGCGGGAGGTGGTTGGCCGGAATAAAAGTGTTGTTGTTTCATGTCATCTTGTAAAGGAACGGAAGTATCCGAGGGTGCATCGGATGGGCTACAAGAATAGGATGGCATGGGACCCATTGTTGATATATCCGACATGGTTTGAACCATTGGGTTAAAACCCGTGATTCTTTTCACACTTTCTTCAGCCATTTTCACCTGTATACACATTCCATAAAATAATCATATTATTATTTATTACTTTAATTACAAATTTATAAATTTATAATTACATTACTTTTGAAAGTACTAACCTTTGCTCTCATTGTTTCAACATCAGCTTTCAGCACTCTATTATCAACAGCTGCTTCATTGTATTTCTGGCTTATGTCTGTGAGACGCTTCAGTAATGAAGAATTTTCTACCCGTAATTGAGAAACCTATCAACAAGTATAAAAATACTTTATTTATTTAAATTGTTTATCCAGATTTAGGCCATGTCTGTTACATAGGACATGACAAAACAGACTGTCCTGTGTTTGATGTGACTGTGACAATGGCGGTAAGACCGATGTCAGAGGATCTAAGAAAAAGACATAAATGCCCTCCTCATCTGTATTTAACAAAAGGAAAAGACCTGTGTCTCAAGCTCAGTTAAATGGGCCTGCTTTCTCCTCCTTGATCGTCTAGCAGATTCTCTGTTTGATAGCATTCTAAAAAGAAAAGAAAAAATAACATACTTTCATCTATCTGTGTACTATATATATATATTACATGGTTAATTGTTATAGTATTAAAGCGATATCTTATTAAATCGAAAGAAGAAACCCTACTTGCTTACCTTCTGACACGTTTTGCATCTGTGGGGTCCATATTTTGAGTTGTTTCTGTATCTCCATCAAGTTCATCATCATCTGATAATTCTCTTGAGGATCCACTTGTTGCTGATTTCACTGGAATTGCAGCCGCCTTCTTTTGTATAATGGGCAAAGAAGGGATCCCGATAGGGCCACCACTTTCCTTACTTGCTCCCTTGGGATCAAACCCTAAGAAAGAAATAACAATCTACTGTTATTTATTTGTTTAACGTAGCATCCAACTTTTACTTCTCCCTATTACAGCATTTATCCCTGCACTCATTTACTTTTTTTTTCTGTTTATCCAGAAAGTAGTTTACACTGAAGAATTTGAAATTTGATTGAATTTCTAGTATTGCAAGAAGTTAAAAGTATAAACCTTTTGAAGGCACTTGGTATCCCAACTGTGAGGTGTTGGAGGCTTGTGATCCATTGTCAGTTAAACCAGCAAAATCTTGAGCTTTTGCAGAAGATGCCTGAGAGAAAGAGTGAACTATACAGATTACATAGTGCTTTGCAAAAGTTGAATCTTAAACTGAAAGCAAAAATGGGTAGAATTTTCAAATTACAGGTGTAAAATAAGAAAATATGAAAGTGGGATGTTAATATGCTATAATAAACAAATCAATGAAGTATATTGTTATTTCTTGCATTTATAATACTATGAGTCTACGAAGTTATCCTAAATTAAATACAATTTATGTGCAGTTTATTTTGGGTTAATGAACTTAATGGGGACAGCTCAATTTGGTAAGCTACATGCCTATATATATATATATATATATATATATATATATATATATATATATATATATATATATATATATATATATATATATAGGTGTTTCTTTTTGACTTGGAGCAGAAAGAATAAGTATAATAGGAGGGAAAAGTCAAGGGATAATTAAGCCCTGACTTTTTACAAATTTGTCATTTATTTTTTCCTTCCATTTCGCAAGTTTTCCATGATTTTGTCTAAGATTTTTAGAAATCATTTATCCGGATAGCAGTTAATGGGAAGAAAAAATAATAATAATAATAAACAGCCTATAGAAGCATAAGCACATTATTTTAATAATGGGTCTTTGTTAATGGTACTTATATTCAATATATTGACTAGATATGAAATTTTAAAAAGTATTGAAAGGTCAACCTTGTATTATTATAATTGTAATAATAATGATAATGGTAACAATAATAATGAAAAGAATAATAATAACAACAACAATAATAATAATAATAATGACAGTAAAACTTGGAGAAAAAGAGAGATGCAAAAAACCTAAATACTCTTTATGAAGAAATAATTCAATTATTTAATCCTACATAAACAACTATATATCTATTATTAGAACATCGATTCCTCCAAATAACATCAAGACAAGATGACACTTTGTCCTTTTGTTCCTTTATTCTATATTCTACACCAAATTGTTTATTGAGACAATTGTACATCCCTCTAAAAAGCCAACATCTGCACATCCCTTTCTACTAATGGATGGAACAAGAATATAATCAAACAGAATTGCCTAACACTCTTTGTAAGAACCAAAGTTTCACAACAACATCTATTTTGTCACCATTAAATTCTTTGGATATAGAATCTTAACATTGTGTTCTCAAACGTCTTTTTGGAGAGAAAGAGGGGAAAGGGAAAAAAAAAAACAAACAAACAAATATATGTGTTAATCCTAACTATAGCAATCCTTGTGATAGTAAACCACTTAGCAAGACAATTAATCCTATTAAAATACTCAGAAGAAAAACTACAAGAAGTACATACACAATTCAAAGTAATTAAAATGGAAAAGGATATAGGGGATAGAATTTGAGCAGTTAGAATATGATTTACTTTTTGGAGAATATGAGAATGAACAAGATACTTCTAGTTTCATGATTCATGGGAGGAGGTTTACTTAAACACAATCACAGCTAGATAATCAACGTCAAAATTTGTGGTGTCATTGCTTATTATACTTGTGTTTAGTCTTCCCAATTAGAAATTGTATGAGATTGGTTTGATTGGTTCATCTATGGTGTTATGCAAGAATCCCTTTTTTGCCTCTGCAACATTGGTTCTACTATCATTAATGAACAATAGTTGAATGATTATTTCAGGATGAGGGACACAATTTACATCAAAATACTAAAAGGAATTGCTTCTAGTAAAATTATTTCACCGTTCATTATTAACAAAGTTGCATCATATGAGTTTATATCTATTTTTTTTTGCATTTTAATTTGATTTTCATGGATGTTACAAGAGTAAATTATATTCCCCTTGTAATCGATTTAATGCGGCATTAATCTACTCTTAACCTCTGTTAGTGTAAATCTACTGGGGATCGATCACCTTGCTAGTTATTTGACATTATCTCTTATTACAACTAGAAAGTAAAAGAAACTAGCAATGTTATCAAATCTAAGCACGGATTTGAGTTTTACTCAGCAAACGGGCAACATAAGATAAAATATAGATTTAAAAGAGATGCAAGACAAACAAATTTGCATACCCTAGTCAAAGCAACAGCTGCACAAGCGAGATTAAGACGACTTTTGAGGTAAGCCTGGTACTCCTCCGAATCAATAGGAACATTAGGAGGTCCGCCGGCTAAGGAAGCACCAAACGAAGTCGTCGCAGCTGCACCACCACCACCAGTGGCACTGCCAGTTGTTCTGCCGCTCTCGTTGTTCTTCAAAGTAGTAGTGGTTGTGGCAACAGCCTGATTTTTGTCTCGAACCTCGTCTTGATCCTTGATCTCGACAACTTCGTTTGGTCTAGAAGATGAAGATTCCGGTGGTGCCGATGCCTCTTGGAGAAAGCGTTGAAATTGCCACTCAGACATACTCCGATTCATCATCGCCTGCGTTGACTTGCTCTTAGATGCGGATGAGGAAGATGATGATTCATCCTCATCGGCGGCCCCGGCGGCCGGCGATGGCGACCAAAAGTGGCCCGCAATATCGTCCACTGAAAACATCCTATCCATTTCTCTCTCCTCTCAATTTCGACTTTAAGCATACGTATCTGAGTAGTTGCGCTCGTGGACCTTTTATCATTAAGAATTTTTTCAAACATGTCCCTCAACTTTACATGTTTTCCTATAATTATGTATATTCTCTTTGAATATATCATAAATAGTCCCCAATATAATTTTGACTCAAGTCGATCACTTTCAAATGTGTCACACAACAATCAAATGTATCACGCAACAATCAACAATATAAAAGTCGATCATTTTCAAATGTATCACACAACAATTCACGCTAATCCCAACCGGTTGTTAGGCAAATATGAAGTAGATTTTATATATTCATTGACCATTAAATCAATATTTTTTTAACAAAAAAAGGGATGTTGAGTTGACAATTTAGGTTATATTGAAATGAATACAGTTGTCACGATCATTTCAAGTGTCCAAATTGCAAGCAAAGATAATGGTATCCGCTTCTTCTGTTGGGAGCTCAAATGTGTATACTTAAACCAAACAACTTAGAAAATGGTATGAGTAAGTTGAGATTGTAATCAATGTGGAATGTGGACTTCTTAGACTTCCATCAACCAAGGGGAGGCAAGGAGAGACAGGTTCATTGAATGCCCTAATATCAAGAAAAAGTTAGTAAAAATTTCATTGGTTATATTTTAGAATGAATGTTATAATGACCAATAAAAAATAAAATGAAATACTTGATAAACAAATAGATTAACCTATTGCTAAAATTTTTAAATTAAATTGCTTTTAACCCTAAAAAGTATGAAAAGTTTGAAATAAAAAACAAAATAAAAATTGATGTAATTTCAAATTTATTTGTAGTATATATTTAAAATAAAAAACTTATCAGTGACATATATGTATACCAATTAGGTGTTACCATTAATTATCTATTTTATAATTGCATACATAGTTAATTATAGGGTTTTTTTTTAACAGCAAATATATATATATATATATATATATATATATATATATATATATATATATATATATATTCTGCCTGGAATTCAGGATCTCCTAAGATAAGTATCTTTTCATTTTAAGCAGTGTTGTAAAACTTACCGAGTTGTCCGATTACTCCTCTGAATACTTGCTATTCAGATCCTTACCGAGGCGAGTTATAAAATCTCGAGTACTCCCCGATCGACCCTTACTGAACTGACCAATGTTGTAAAACTCGTTCAACTCGGTGATTAATATATATAATATATTTAATGATTTATTAATTAACACACACATGTGATTATTACTATATATATATATATATATATATATATATATATATATATATATTCCTCCAATCTAGATATCTTATAGACATGAGACATGAGACATGAATTATAATCATTCTCTCTATCTATGTGTTATTTTCCGATTTCCAATTTATGATGACTGTCAACAAACTACAATTGAACACATCAACTTAGTCCAGACTTGACCAAACGCTTAGGTGTCATCACTAAATCATCGAGGGGGTCCACATATATCGCTTTTATCCCACTTTGGGTAAAAGGAAAGGATAAACGTCGACTAAAATGCTCATTTGTACTTACTCATCAAACCACACACAACAGTATGCTTTATAAGACCAAGTTACTGGTATGTTTACATATATCAATGTACAACCAAATTGCAAACTACAACTCTCATGTCTCTGTTTCAAGAATATAAGATATTATCATCTCACAATCACTCGTGATAAAATTCATGACAATCATTCACGTGAGCGTGGGTTTAATCCAATACTCAAATCTTATATCAGTGCATTTACAAAAAAATAAAAAATAATAATAATAATAATAATAATAATAATAATAAGAAAAAGAATTTAAATTGGACCGCATTTATATCTTTTTTGGTTATAGATACTCAATTCCATTTTGATTTATATTGGATTGGGTGTCTAAGTTAATAGTTAAATTGATATATACTTAAATTAAAAACATAGTCATTTTAGGTTGCTATCAAACCTAGTAATTGACATAATAACTTTTTGGAGAAAGAGGTTAATTTATTGGTTTATTATAAGATTAATAAGTAGCAATAAATAATTTATTAATATATTATTAGGTTAATATATTAATTAGAAATGGTATTATTTAATTAATAACTGGTCAGAAATTAATTAGAATTAATTTGATTAATTAAAAGTATAGGGACTAAAGGTGACAATATTTAAAAGTTGAACATTGAAGGATTCTAGAAACTTCCCACATGAGGGGGATGGTTTTGGAGACTCCTAAAGCTTCTAAGAAACCTTAGGAAGCCATACGGAGCAAGAAAATGGATAAGGGTTATCCAAAGAAACATGTCATATCACAAACTCCTTACTCACCTATATAAACCACTTATGGGTTCATTATTTTTGTCCAAACCTTCTCTAAGAGCCTTATAGCCGAAAATTCTCATCTCTCCTCTCAAGTCTTCTATTGCTAGGGTTTTGGAACAAACCATTAGAGGCACGAGATTTCCCATGCTTGCTTTATGAAGCTTGTTCAATAAGGAAGTGTTTTATTATTTACTATAATAATAGAGAGGTATGTAAACCCTAAAACCCTTTATGAATTTCAATTATAGCAGGGTATTTCTAGGGTTATTGATGTTCAATTGTTTGTTTCAATCAATAGAAAAAACTCAGATCCAATAGGTTGCAGGTGAACTTAGGGTTAAGTTTTTTCACCATATAGTTTTTTGTAACCTATAAAACTCATCAATGGTATCAGAGCCATAGGTTTTCAATTGATATTGCACAATGTTAATAGATTAAAATTAGGGTTTATATAAATTAAACCCTAAGAGAGGAATTTTCAATTTTTGCTAAGGTTCTTGAAACCCTAGCCCCCTTAACCCTTTTTTCAAAAATTAGGGAGCCCTTTTAGGGTTTATCTTGTTTCCTTAGTTGTTTTTTTTTTAAGTCTTAAAAATTGAAAAGCTAAAACCTGATAAACCTTATCCCTATTTTCGAAAATTGTGGGGTTTTGGATTGTGATTAAACTTGAATTATTTTATTAATTGGTTAATTGTAAATAATTATTTAATCCATAATGATTTAATTAATTTAATTATTTGTTTAACTAAAAGATAAAGATAAATCATAATTGGTTTGATATTTATTAATTAAACTTAATTTTAATAATTAATATTTAAACCTAATATTTTGAAAAGTTTTAAAATATACCTTATATATATATATATATATATATATATATGTGTGTGTGTGTGTGTGTGTGTGTGATATTAAAAGTTAATTATTATATGTATAAGACAAGTCAGTCAAATTGTTAGTACGCCTCAATCATGAAGCCATACTATAAGGGGGTATAAGGAAACGACCTATAAAAATTGGGTATCCACTCTCACCCACCGCTCCCTTGTATGGCAAAGGGTCGTTAGTCGAACGGATTTGATAGGACATAATCTCAATAAAAGTAGAATGACATAAAAGTATTATAACCTTCTTTAAAAATATCTCACTCTAATTACTTTAGGAAAAATTTGAAAAGCATGTAATCCATGAAAACACACATCATGCTTTATATGTTGTTAGTGGAGCGTGTATGGTTAACCGACATACTAATAGGGACTATAAGGCATCTCGAAAATTATAATTGTTAATGAAGCATGTGTGGTTAACTGACACATCAATGTAAGATGATAAATGACATCGAGGTTGTTAATCGGGTTTACATGGTTATTTACATCTCATTTGTGATTATCGAGATCCTAATCAGAAAAGTGAGAGCATAATCTGATATTAAACATGTCATTGATAAGATTCAATGAATCTCAAAAGATCTAGGAGTTTCATAAGATTGGAATTGGTAAAATCCTTACCTACCTAAAATAGATTTGAATTTGATTACGACATCCCTCTTCAAAGTTCGAATCGAAAATATGGATCCTAGCCTTAGTTTAAATTTTAGGTTAATAATTAAGGATTAAAATCAACTAACTTAAATTCTCTTTTCTCCTACTTTTGGATGTCTTATGAAGATAGAAATGGTCTTCTTCACTCTTATGGAAATGGTTTTCCTTAATCTTCGGGAGATGGTCTTCCAATTTCAATTTAAGGTGAAATTGTTTTCCCTTCCTTAGGAAATGATGGAATTGGACATCATCTCTCTTCAACTCTTCCACCTCATCCTCCTGTAACTCTCCCTACGTCATGTTTCCTTCAAGTTGAAAGATACAAAACTACTCGAGCCCTATTAGCATGTAGACATCAAGATGGAAATTCTATATGTGTGCGTATTCTGAAAATGAAATCGTTCATTGACAAGTTGGATAGAATGGGTGTTGTTTTCCCAAGGGAGCAAGCCATTGATTTGGTTCTTCTTTCTCTTCTAAATTTATATGATCAGCTCATTGAGAACTTTTATATGAGTAATATCGATGTGATCCTAATTGATCTAACCCAATGTTGATTGTTGCTAAAGTAGAAGTGCTTAAGAGTATATCTAAAGCAGAGATGTTTATTGGGTCTAATTCCAAGGTTTCCATGGACATTGACAATGGTGATCCAAAAAAGATTTCTCTTCCCAATGGAAAGGGGTCGTCCAAGATTAAACTGTTTGATCATATAGTAAAGAGAAAGGCTAGTTCTAGGATCATTCCATGTGTTGACCTCATCGAGTCCATTTGTTTCTAGTACCAATTAAAGGGACACTGGAAACAAAGCTTCCCAAAATATTTGAAAGATCTTAGAGATAGTAAAAGTCAAGTCGTGTAACTCTACTTCATGTACATCCATTATCTGATTCCATTGTTTTATAAGTTCTTATTCATAAACTCTTAATACATGATGCGATGATCATATTTTGATGGTATTAAAGGAGCTAAGAAAAAGAAGGAAGCCTGAGCAAGGTGACTTAAATCTAATCATAGAAATGGACTTTGGTAACATGGTTCGAAGAAACATTGAAATTTTGGTTTTCATTTTATGCATTATAAGGACAAGTTCCAAATTTTGTTTATTTTCAATAACATGAAATTTTGGTTTATCTGGTTGCCATATTTTATGAAAGTTTTAGTTATGTTTCTAATATTAGCAATATTAATTATGGAGTTGATTTTTATGATATCGCATGTGATATTGTCATAATTGACCAAGTGAAAAGAAATCTCATCACCAATTGGACAGATACTTGATGTTGTACAAT